TGTAATGGACGAATTAACATCTTGCAACCGCTAGAGGCCGCTATATTCACCGAAATATACAAATACACTTTAAAAAAAAAACTCGTGAGTTTGTGAATTGAAACGTTCCAACCTAACCCAAAGTGTATCTCTTCAGCAAAATGTCACATGGCTGTCAACCCAGACGGTTTAACCCCATATTCTTGTACAGGGAAATTGAGTTTTCAGGTTCATACGGCGTACAGCGGTTTAAATACTGGCTTTGTAGGATGAACGTTGAGATTTATAAGGGGCACGGGGTGACCAATAAGGTCTGAATTGGTCTGTAATAAGGTAGGGCACTGATAAGGGGTTGGTAGGTATGTAGTAGTGTAGTGTATAGTGTAGTATATTTGTAAGGACAGTACTGGGCCTCGTGGCCGTAAATAATTATTGCAGCGATGAGGACAGGCCGGGTCAGTGAGGTAACTGGGTGAGGGGTCAACGCGGGGGTGGAGATGTAACCCCCGAGGTGTTAAAGCGAGGCAAGGGAACTCTCCGTCAGGAGAGAGTTCGGGAAAAGGGGCGTGGCAGAGCCGAGAGGAAATAAAAGGCAGCGCGGAGCGGGGCTCGTAGCTGCCGTGGTGTGAGTCGGAGTCCGGATCGTCGCCGCTGACATCTCTGTGGATCGCCTTCATCGTCTGGGAGGGCTAGCGAAGGAAGTTATATAACTTCGCCGTGGCTGCTACATCGACGGCTCCTATTTAGTCAGTCAGCTATATAGTGAACATATTCTTGGTTCTTTCGGTAAAGTCACGTAAATTGAAAACAAAAGAAATTAAATATATTTCGATTTAAAGCTGTCCTACCAGACAGTCTCGCCCCCTTCACCTGATGAAGGCCGCTTGTGTTGTGACCGAAACGTCGTGAGAATATTATTGTGTTATTTTATTTTATCAATTTATTATTTTATTATCATTCTACGTGACTTTACCGAAAGAACCAAAGAAGAAAATTAAATATAAATAATAAAATTAAAAGAATACAAATAAAATAAAAGAATTGAAAATAATAATAAAAGCAAACAAAACGCATTATTTATTTATGTAAGTATTTTTTGAAATATTATTTTAAAAATTATTTATGTGACTTTACCGAAAGAACCAAGAATATGAATTCCTGCAGTCACGAAAGTTTTAAGTCAAAATATATAGTGAACGTCGTGTAGCAGCTATACAGATTCACCCAGTTGTATATAGTCAACCTGCATCCACCTGATACCATGTCATCGAGTCGGGTGGACTGTAATCTATCTATATATAAAAGGCAAAGTTGTGATTATGTGTGTCTGTTCAAAATGTTTAGCGTACTTCCCGACATGCAACAAACTTGAAATTTGCCATGTGGGTACTTTCCAGACTGTACACCATGCAAAAATTATAAAAATTGACGTTTGTATATATTTTTTTTGGTCGGGGGAGGGACGCAATAATGCAAATACTTTGCACGGCAAGTGAGCTGTGACATCATATCTGTCATGTCACCCGCGCATGCGGAAGCGTCACGCAGTGTGCCTGCTCATGTCACGCCTCCCCCCAACCCTCCGCGAGTAAAGTGCCATACAAATGTGTTGCAGGTCTCCGGCGTTCTTCGCGCAGCATTGCTTTACTATTTGAGTCGTTTACTGCCGCACGCGCCCTAAAAGTTGTGTCTGCAGGAAGCGCGTGTTTGTGTACCTATGGACGCGCGCTCGCGCACGTGTGTGTGTGTGTGTGGGGGGAGCGGTAGTGCGCTACGAACCCGGCGACCCGGGTTCGATTCCCGCTCATGACCACCACCGGTGACGATTATTTTAACCGGTCCCGGTCCTGGGCCTCTCCTAGGTCGACTCAACCTCAAACGAGTAACTGCTGTGGTGTGGGGACAAAGGCGGCGGTGAATCCAAGTCCTGGGCGAAGCCGGCTAATATATAATGTAACTTTAGCAAGACAGCGTCTCTGAGTGCTACATTACATATTGTATAGTATAGTGTATTGTATAGGATGAACGTCGAGATTTATACGGACACGGGTGACCAATAAGGTCTGAATTGGTCTGTAATAAGGTAGGGCACTGATAAGGGGTTGACAGGTATGAAATTAGCATGGATTTGGTGGCAATCCCACGTTCTTATGGCAGGGACCAGTTCGTCCACGAATGGAGGCACTGTCAGCGAGTCAGTAATACAGTCGAGCGCAGGGGGGGGAGGGGGAAACACGCGTGGTCATAAAATAATAATTTAATCAAGTTAACAATGCAAAACAAGCCCAGGCGTAACGCTGAATTATTCACCACGTGCAAGGATAGCGTCCCGTTCCACTCGGTGGAGCTATTTATAGCATCAGCCCCTCCCCCCACTTCGCCCCCCCCAACTCCCCACCTCGATCCTCATCTCTCATTGGCATTCCGGCACCGCGTGGTCAGCCAGGGCGGGGCGTCAGGGGGGGGGGGGTAAAGGAGCGGGGCTTATTATGCAAATTTATCTAATGCCCCGCCTCTCCAGAAATCACGTGCAAAAGTGGGGGGGGGGGGGGGTGCGTCTTATAATCCGGTGTGTTCGCGCACGCGTGTGTGTATATGTGCTACATACGCGTCTTATAATCCGATGTAAAGATCGGCCTCTATGGAGGAGGCTTGTGAAGTACGCTGCTTGCTACTGGGCTGTAGCTGGAGGCAGTCGCCGCCCTCCAGCAACAACGGAGGGCAAGAGGAGCGACGCTCTCACAACAACGAGCGGAGCGCCGGGCGGCTAAAACGCAGCGAGTTGCCACAGTAGGGGGGGGGGGGCGCAGCTGGTGCATCTGCCGATCCATCTCAGTCGGCCGACCCATGGCACCTGCAGGGTCCGTTCCGTGACCTCCTCCTGCCAGCGAGCCTTCGACACTTGACGTGGCCTCAAAGTGCACCTAGCCTGGCACAGGCGTCGTGGTGAGGTCACCGTTAGTGGCGATTGGCGGTTGTTGTTGTGTACTGTTGATCAGTCAACCCATGGCACCTGGGTCTGTCCTGTGACCTCTTGCCAGCGGGCGGTCAACACTTCACGTGGCCTAAAAGGTGCCACCTGGTCTGGCACAAGCGTCGTGGTGACGGCACCGCCACTTAGTGGTGAACGGTGGTATGTTCAGAATCTGAATATTTATAATTGAAGGAATCCGAGAAGCTACAAAGCTCTTTTTTATATAGACGTCCAGTAGTACCAGGTCAGAAAGTTACAACAAATATTACAAAAACACAACAGGAGTGCAAATTATATGCAAGGTAAACAAATCACTTTAACAATATAGAAATACATTTTGATTTAAATCTAACGTTAAGAAAAAACCGCCACTTTTTTCAAATTTTCTTGCTGTGGTTTTCACACCTGATGATGATTGCTTGTGTTGCAGTCGAAACGTCGTGATAATTTTTATTGTTTTATATTTTTTAGATTATTTTATTGTTTCCATTCTACGTGACTTTACGAAAGAACCAAGAATACAAATATAGAAATACTCGTTGGTTCTTTCGGTAAAGTCACATAGGTATAAAATCAAATAAATTACGACGTTTCGGGCGCAACACAAGCGTCTATCATCAGGTGGGAAAGCATGGTCTGCTGCTGAGGCAGCCTGTTTTTAAAAGGTTTGAAATGGGCATAGCCCAAGGGTCATAAAGAAGTGGCCGGGGTTATTGATGTTAATGTAAAAAAATTAGCATGATGTGAATGTGAGAAATTAACATGATGTTAATGTGAGAAATTAGCATGTCAATGTGAGAAATTAGCACGATGTTAATGTGAGAAATTAACATGATATTCACGTGAGAAATTATCATGTTAATGTGAAAAATTTGCATGATGTTAATGTGTGAAATTAGCATGATGTTAATGTGAGAATTTAGTACGATGTTAATGTGAGAAATTAGCATGTAACTGTAAGATAGGAGAGCGGCCTCCTAAAATGTTTTTTGGTTTGGCAATGTTTGTTGTAGTACGGAGTTAGACTGATGTCCTTAATCTAAGTTGTCTTGTGGTTGTTGTTGTTGTTTGACTTGCATCCCACTGGGATTTTTGCACACAGCGTTGGTGTACGGTGCTTTTTCTGGAATATTTTGCTGTTTTTTACCTGGATTTTCTGTTTTGCACAAAGTCACATAAAGTCACTTTAAGATGTTTTCTTGTTCATGTTTTTGGTTTGTTGCGGTTGCACCCGATTCAAGAGCCGAATGGCTCACAGGGCTATACCAAATAAATGAAACTGAAACGGAAGTGGCTATGTCAATGTGTGAAATGAGCATGTGGAAATGAAACTAAACTTTTTTTTATCTAACTAGGTAAGGCCCACTGCTGAGCCGTGAGCTTTTTCAGGAGCGACCTGGCCACATGGGGAGAGCTCAAGTGGCGAATCGCTTGGAAATTCGCAGAAGCCAAAATAATCCTGAACGCACCTTTCTAAATGTGAAAGGGGAGGGGGGGGGAACCGGAGGACCCGGACGAAAACAAATCCACGCAACTATATTTGTGTAACCTCATTAACAGCGGGCAAATACGCTTTGGAGCGTGTGTTACTTTTGTTGTTGTCGTTGCGAAACGTCTAATAATGCGGAGGAGTTTGTGGTTTTATGTTTGCTTGGTTTAACGAGCAAAATGTTTATCGGTGATATTGGTCTGCAAGCTCCAATACATAGAAGGGGCTGATGGACGAGAGCTATTTTTAACTCTCAACGCTTCACAGCGACCCCCATTATAAGAGTTCTATAATCTAGAGAATACGGTAACCCTGGCGACACGTTGGGGGGAGGGGCTTATGCACCCACTCGCCCCACCCCTCCAGACTCGACCCCGCCCCTTTTCGTCCGGACCTCGCCCCTCCGCCCCTGCCCAACTCCGGACCCCGCCCCTTTCCCCCGGACCCCGCCCATCTCCCTCCGGATCCCGCTCCTCTTCGCCCCGCCCCTCTCCCCCCGGACCCCGCCCCTCTTCTTCGCCCCGCCTCCCCTCTCACCGGACCCCACCCCACACACACCAAAAAAAACAATTGAAGCGGAGTTTGCCCGTCACCGGATTTGATAGCGCGGATAAGCGGCTATAGCAACCAATGGGCGCCTAATGCCAATGCGCGCTGCGTTATGTAAAGCGAGACGCAGGCATGGCCAGTGAGAGCATGGAGGCGGCTGCGTGTTAAAGAGAGGAGAGAGCGAGCGAGCAAGCGAGGTAGCGAGCTAGCGAAGAGGAACACGGACGAGAGGCAGGAGAGACACAACAAGAGCGGGACTACGCAAGCAGCCCCGTTGTTGGTGTCCGTGCGGGGCGGCACTCGAGGTAAGGAGGAGTGGTTGGGACGCCTCACGCAACGTCGATAATGTTTTTCTTGGGACCCTTCATTGCCACTATCAAAGTATAATCATAATAATAGGGTTTTTTTTTACCCTTGCTGGCAATACAACGGGTGTTAAGACGTTAATAAACACCAAACGGAGCATGTTTTTTTTGTTTGTTTGCATGTTCACAAGTACGCGCGTGGTTAATGCAGACTTGTATCCTTGCAAAAGGTGTTAGAACATCTTAACACCTGTTTTAGTTCCAGAAAGGGTACAAATGTACTCTTATAGTGTCATTTCTTGTATATTCTCCGGTCACTCGGCGAGCCTACACACAACTTTACCTCAGAAACGCACCGTTAACGACGCTGCTGCTGTTGGCGCCTTGTACGGTACTTCTATGGTGCCCTGCTGCTGCTGTTGGCGCCTTGTACGGTACTTCTATGGTGCCCTGCTGTTGGCGCCTTGTACGGTACTTCTATGGTGCCCTGCTGCTGCTGTTGGCGCCTTGTACGGTACTTCTATGGTGCCCTGCTGCTGCTGTTGGCGCCTTGTACGGTACTTCTATGGTGCCCTGCTGCTGCTGTTGGCGCCTTGTACGGTACTTCTATGATTCCCCTGTTGCTGCTGTTGGCGCCTTGTACGGTACTTCTATGATTCCCCTGCTGTTGCTGCTGCTGCATGTTAATTAATGCACGGGGTGACAACGGCGGATGTGTTGTTCAATGTTATATAGCACCGTATTCTCCGGATTATAAGACGCAATCCCAAACAATAACAACACAAACTTGTGCCCAGGTGTCGGTAAAGTTTGCACAACGACAACCGCCATTCGCCACTAAGTGGCGGGGACGTCACCACGGCGCTTGTGCCAGGCTAGGTGCACGTTAAGGCCACGTGAAAGTGTGCCGAACGCCGGCTGGCAGGAGGAGGTCACGGGACAGACCCAGGTGCCCATGGGGTGACTAACCAACAACAACGACAACCGCCATTCGCCACTAAGTGGCGGGGACGTCACCACGACGCTTGTGCCAGGCCATGTGCACCTTGAGGCCACGTGGAGTGTCGAACGCCCGCTGGCAGGAGGTCACGGGGCAGGCCCAGGTGCCACGGGTCGACTGACTGAGATGCCTGGCTGATGGACCGGCTGTGCCCCCCTACTGTGCCCCCTACTGTGCCAATCACTATACCACGACTGAAATATCTGACTGACCAACAGCACACACACACACAGCTAGATGCTCACTCTATCTCTGTTGAGGCCACGTGAAACTGTCGAGCGCCCGCTGGCAAGAGGTCACAGGGCAGATCGAGGTGCCATGGATCGACTGACTTGAGATGACTTGCTGTGTTTTAGCGACCCGGCGCTCCGCTCGTTGTTGTGAGAGCGTCGCTCCTCTGCCCTCCGTTGTTGCTGGAGGGCGGCGACTGCCTCCAACCGCTCAGTAGCAAGCAGCGTCCTCTTACAAAGCACGGACACACCGGATTATACGACGCACCCTCAACTTTTGCTTGAAAATACGGGGATTGAGTGTGGAGTGACGTGCGTCTTATAATTCGATATCGCTGCTGCAACACCCTTTTGAACTGGGCCGGGTCCTTCGGTTTTACCCCTCCACATTTAGAAACGTGCATCGAGATTACAGTATTTAGATTACTTTTGGTGCAAAAAATGTCCAAATAGATGGGAACTACTTTGTTGAGCTATCGTTTGCGGCGAGGATGCTTCTGAAAAGTAAGTTAATACCTCAGTAAGCTTTGCCTTGTAGGATGGGGGTGGTTTAGTTTTATTTGTTTGCGTTTGAGTGATTTGGTTACCTTTCTTGTACTTTGCACTAGCATCGTGGTTTTTGTACTGTTTATTGTTGTAACGTTCTTAGTCAAGCCCTGCCGGACATCTGTGATAAATAATTTTATAGCTCATCGGATTCCTTACAGTATATATGAGTATCCTGACTGTGGACCACGCGTTATGTCAACGTTATGGCATCTTAACTCGTCTACTGAATGTGTGGGTTCCTCCTCTAGACCCTGACTGACACAGGCTCGCGAGTGATGATATTGACTGGAGTCTAACCTGACAAAATCAGGGATTCTATAATGAGATTGAAAGGCACGCACACCTGGTTAAATATTGTGGCTATATGATGCATTTTATAAGTAATATTAATTTGCATCTAACTTCGTCAAATAAAGCACTCGACAATGAGATTGAATGGGGTCTTCCCCGTGGTTAGATTATAAGCGACGTTACAATGAATGTTAATTGGGGTGTTACCTGGTTAATTGAAAGATGTTATGGTGAATTCGAATTGCATAATGACCTGGTCATACAGGGGAATTACGTAAGGAGGTCGATTGGTGCGAGTCGATGACTTATGGAACGAATACCATTAGGGGTCGTATCCGGTTATATAATATGGCTGAACGATTCATCGAATTAAAATCGAAATCGCAATTTTAAACAATGCCAATAGCAGATGGCAATTGCTGCGATTTTTGGCGTTTTGAAAAGTCCTATTACTTTCTTATTGGAATTGTTTTACTTTTTATTATTTTTATAACTTTATTTAACTTAACCATTGTTCTATGTTTGTTCTATTTCAATATATTTTTTTAAAAATAGATACATATTGGAAGCAATTAATATATTTTAAGTTCTCATCCTTGCATTAGAATACTGTATATAGAGCAGTTCATATGTTGATGGTATAATGTGGTAATGCTCCATCACATGTTTTAAATCTATTACACAGTGAATATTGAAGTGAAGCTTGACTTAAAAAAGTTTTTTTTTCTATCACAAATCAAATCGCAATATCTATCAGAAAAATCACAATTAGATATTTTCCCCAAATCGTTCAGCCCTATTATATAAGGACTTTTAATGGGATTTAAACGGGTAGCTTAATTAGTTAAAACGGATTTCCTGTATTGAAATTTCAACGGAGACTTCTCATCATTCTCATTGCATGAAGGCCGTTATAATTACTGCAATCTCAGTGGCGCAATATCTTGCACGAGTTGGAACGTTTGCCATCGCGAATCCGAGAGCGGGATCTCACGCCACGCTGTGCCGAAGCACTTTCACTTGCAACCCTCAGTGGAATTGCAAGCGTGCGCGTATGGAGCACGTGTTTGTCATGAATCTCATTGAGATTATTTTTTTTCCTCGTCCAAAGCACATCTTTGCTTTGTGAAGGGCCATCGTCCGAAACGTCGCCTGTTTAATATGTGCTTCCTCTTCGGGGCCGTGTTATTGACGGATGTTGAGTTCGTGTTTTTTTTATACTTGTGCATCACTGCAGGCGCAGCATCCATGCCGTGTCAACCCATACGGTTTACCCGCATTCTTGCACGGGGAAATTTAGTTTTCCGGTCCATACGGCGTACAGCCGTTTCAATACGGGCAAAAAATGTCTATATTTTTGTGTTTCTCCCTTGTGATGGGACTTTGTAGGATGAACGTTGAGATTTATAAGGGCACAGGGTGACCAATAAGGTCTGAATTGGTCTGTAATTAGGTAGGCGCTGATAAGGGAGTTGACAGGTATGAGCATCGCACGTTTTTTTTCGTTCCATAAAAATTACATTGTGCCAGTTACAATCAATGACTTTGCTATCGTGAATCTCAATGGGCTCCCCAACTTGTTAAATAAATAAGGACGTGTTATAATCCGCTCTCTGTCGGCTCTCACCTTGCTCAAAATAATAGGGCATTCATAGCTCGGTGATGAATTCAGGTTTACGACCGCGGTGGTGGTGATGCGGTGGTGGCGATGCGGGGTTTTGGGCGGTGAGAAAAAATCGTGGATCTTAAATGTTTATGAAGTTCCTGAGTTCTTTTGAGATGTGTAGGAGATAACAGCGCAGCAAGGTGGGTGTCAAACTGCGGACCGTATCGTAAACCCACTGTGCTCAGCGCTGCTTCAACGGAGGAGGAATGGCAAAACGAGAGGAACTCTCTCTGCTGAAGCCCTCTCGTCCTGGCCAGTAGCAGACCCGTCAAGCTCCTGAACCACTGCCATACGCAAGAAGAAGACTGAGATACATGCAATGTGACTCGTAGATATACAGAGACTCGTAGAGACCCACAGAGATACATTATAGACAATTCAGAGATACAGTTGTCGCCATGCAACCCAAACTATGGACCGCACAGTAAACTCACTGTGGTCGCACTCCTTCAACGGAGGATGAGGAACACAACACAAACTCTCTCTGCTGAAGGCCTCTTGTCGTGGGCAGCAGCGTCACATCTCAAAATTGGCATCTAGCTCCCGAACAGATTGCCCTGCAGCACAAGATTAGAATAGCATTTTGTTGTATCTTGTACGAGAGTGGGTTGTCTCTGGATACTCCAGTTTACTTCCCACATGCTAAGCGCCCCTTAACTATAAAATGGCCAAACGTCTCAACTATCTTGAGACTCAAGTTGACGAATCGCCATCTGTTTCCTGATGGTGATTATTATTTTTCAAGAGCCACTCAGGCGCTTGAATCACATTATTATTATTAGTGTCACCGAGGTCTCACTAGGGTAAATAATGGTGTTGGAATCCAAATGGAATGTTGCCGAGTAAAATTCGATTTCGGTAGACATCTCTATGGGCTTATTGGCTTAAACAAAAACGTGTTAAGGGTATATTATTACAACAGTATCACAACAAGCCCTGTTTTCTAAATACTGTACGTTTTTTTATAAATCTATATATAATGTCCATCAACAGATATGCGTAACCACATGCTTCTAGCCACAACAGTGCCACTTATGTAAGTGGTCTTGGTTTCCAGAGCTAATAACATGTGTGGCGGAGTGTCATCAAGGAAGTTTGCCACACTGCACTCTTGAGCCCCCTGATCTGAGTTCGATTCCCTGCCACAGCTAACGTCAGTGGCGAATTATATCTGAACCTGTCCTTGGCAACCTATCTCCTAATCCCCCCTGCTGCCACCATCACCACCACCTTTCATCAACCCACACTGCCCAATATGGCGAAG